TGCTTCATCCATCTAGTACCAGGTAAAACAGCACTCCAAGAGACACAGTAACTTGGTTCATGAGTACGAGCACTAGAGTTCAGTAAAAGAGACAACCAAGACTACAAGAAGCAGCAGCCGTTGAGTCCAGAAGAGAAGGACTTCAAGTTAAGTGGAAGTGAGTAATCAAAGACGCGAAAAGCACAGTACATCCCAGACCATAAATGATGCAGTAACTTCCTGGAGAAATGCTCTCAAGACCAAGAGAGGTGGCAGCCAGTGGAGTCAATACCTGGAGAGACAGCAGTTGAAGTCTACCAGAAGAGATACAAGGCGATAACCCCGGAGACGCCTGGTTGGGAGACCTTACACACGCCTCAAGCTTACTCACTGGCCAGACACACGACCTGATAAACATGGGCACGTGATGCTAATGACTCTCTGCATCAGACGCTAAATTAGATTCGCAGAAGAAGAAGTCGGGAGCCAATAGTAATTATCCTCCATTAAATGTCACCGAGATGTGGGGATATATTTTCAGAATATGGACCCAGCACGTGCATCAGGTCAACTGTAATTATCACCAGGAGATAGAGATGAGGTGAGACAGAGACGGAGAGGTGAGAGTATAAGAACTAGAGATATTAGTTCCACTTCCTCCGGTCTATAGGTCAGGAGAAATTTACCGTGGAGTGGGCGGTAGAGATTAGTAATTTGTATGAGGGGAAGTTTTTCTCCTGGATACTGTAACTCAGAGAGATGGCCTCGCCCCTAGACGGTGGTGGGGATGGAGTGCTCGCTGGCCTACCAAAGTGACGGAGGTACATGAGTTGGGTCGTCGGGGGGAAGGTTGAGGAGTGACGTGACGGGATTTGGTATATCTCAATAAGGATCTGAGGTCAAGTGATACAAGAGGTGTGTGTGTGTGTGTGTGTGTGTGTGTGTGTGTGTGTGTGTGTGTGTGTGTGTGTGTGTGTGTGTGTGTGTGTGTGTGTGTGTGTGTGTTGCCTGAAAGATGTGAAACCGAGAAGAACATTTTGGACGAGTAGTAATTATGAAGGAGAGTAGAAACTATAACAAAATAACCCTGTGTTATTTCTCATGATGTGTACTGAACAAGATGTGACAGAAACTTATATTATAAACAATATTCCTTCATAAGACTCATAAGGACGCCACTCCTGTCTAGTGGAGAAGGACACACACAAATAGGTCTCCATGGTGAGAACTGGTGAAATGGACTCCAGTTCTCATAGACTCCTAACATAAACAGACCATTAGGATTGAAACTCATTCGTAATGGGTTCACATCCTAATGAATAGATTCCATTGGGGCCTCTTGGGATTGGAACCTAAAAACGACTTGCAATGACTTGTGTTACTGTCATCACACTCATAGACCCCCACGATGGAAGACGATCACTATACCTGCAGGAGCTGTACGGGGGACGTTAGCCGTGTACCTCACCTGTTCACACCTGTGTATTGTGTGTTGAGGAACGTCTGCAACACCTCTCAAGAAAGATCTAAACAGCCGAGTGGGATGAATCAGGGTGAGAGGGATGAGGGGGGGCAGTGATCTAAAATTGCCGTTAAATTCACCGAAGACCTCTCGACCTGTTCCATGTAGTCAAGATATAAACCTCAGCATTATCAACCCACCAAATGTATGAGTCAATGTATAAGCCCATGATGTAAATGGTTCTGTTCGTGAGACGCTAAACCTGATTCACAGAACGAGAAGTCGGGAGCCGATAGTAATTAAGTCTTCAGTATTTGTCACCAACCCAACACGCGCTCTGGGCCAGTGAAATGGGTGAGAGAGAGAGACGAGAAAAGAAAAAAGAAAAGAAAAGAGAAAAAAAAACGTTAATGACGCATAGGCAGAAACTAGATGACAAAAACTCGAGGTATTAGTTCCACTCCCCGGTGTATAGGTCAGGAGAAATTTACAGGGTAGTGGGCGTCAGACATTGATAATTTGTGTGAGAGGAAGTTTTTTCCTGGCTGACCGTAACTCATGAAGGATGGTCTCCCCCCGCCCCTCGCCTTCACCCTCCTTCTCCCCAGATGGTAGTGGGGGATGGGGGGTGCTCGCTGACCCCTCAAGGTGAAGGAGGTACATGAGATTAGAGGTTTCAGTGTATCTTATAAGGAGTTAAACATGTATACACTGTTTGTTGACATGATGGATCAGTGAGACCATTATTTCTTATCGTACATCAGACAAACAGACACTTTCTGACGCTATGCTAACCTAAACTAACACCCGCCAGGTAGTGTTAAGGTGGTTAATCATAAGGTGAAATAAGCTGGAGGTTAATCATCAGGTAATCCCGACACTCCAGTAATACGAGTCATTTAAGAGACAACGTATCCTAGAGCATTAAAAGTACAGAGTCAGAGTTAACGACCCTGGCATCTGAAGTAACTTAATATACGTACACATAAGAACAATAAAACAATACATACTAAAGTTTACTTGCTGTACCAACGAGAGAACAAGTTATAGCATGTGTTTTCTTGATAAAGTGACAGGCCTTCTTAGTTAATAGCCTTCTGCATTGTTCCAGTCTCATACCACTTAATATTGAATCAAAATCAGCTTTACTGTAACTACGAGAACACTTAAGATGTGCATTGGTCTCTACATAAGTGTTTTGTCCACCACCATTGTGTTATTCTACCGTGAAATATGAAATGGTTTTTTTATACTTTTTGGTCGTGATCATCCCGGGGCGCAACACCTCACCTAGTAGGGCTCCTTCACCCAGGTTGAGGCTTCAGGGGATTCAACAGAGGTCACTGGACGCCACCACAGCCACGTTTTCTTTGAACTCATTATAGCTAAGAGGGAGAATACTCGAAACTGTAAACACAAAAAACATAATATATTTGACCATTGTTTTCTGTTGTTCACTGGAGGAGTTTTGAATATTTCACTCCATCAAACTTTCTAGAGAAATAATATCCCACTGAATCCGATGATACTGTACAGCTGGATTAAATGAATGGCTAAATTTAACTTGACTTTTACCGTCTTCAGTGTTAAATTCTTCCTGACAACACCAGCGTTAAATGAATTCGTAAATTAATCGGACCCACAAGTAAAACTATCAACAAAGTACGTATATATATTTTCTTAAGTTATTTTTTCACAGTATCTTTATATCTTTATTGATAACTATACTTGGATCAAAATTATTATTACCTTATTATTATTATTATTATTATTATTATTATTATTATTATTATTATTTCTTTTTTAGTGCGAGGCAACGAAAGGGGGGGGGGGGATGACAGCCATGAATAAAAAAAACAAAAACATTACAATCCTATTTTCATCATGAAATCAGCTGAGCTCGTATGAAATAAAATCATCCTCCTCCTCCTCCTCCTCCTCCTCCTCCTCCTCCTACTACTACTACTACTACTACTACCACTACTACTACTTCTATTATTAACACCTCTATACAGTAACAATCTTCTTGCCATCCCATTCTTTTAATTTCAATTCATTCACGACAAACATAACTAAACGAGGGCCATTTTCTTCCCTCGTACTCAGGTGTTCAGAACCCCTTATGAATGACATACCTTCAGACAATTACCAAGGCGATGATCATAGAGCGCCTGACCTCGTTAATTGTGGCACTTGAGAGAACCATTATTGAATACCTTTATCACCTGTGACAAATGAGAGCCTTAGACACAGGTGATGCACAAATTACAGGATTTAACACTTCATTACCTGTGCTGCCTTGATATGTGGTAGTGGTGAGGGAGGTGATGGGGGGAGGGAGTGAGGGAGTTGGTGGCGTAGTGGTGAGGGAGGTGGGGGTGGGGAGTGGGGAGTGAGGGGAGTGGGGGGTTAGTGGGGAGGGGAGTGGGTGGCTGGAAGGTGTAATGGTGAGGGGAGTAGGGGGAGGGATGGGGGATGGTGGTGAGGGAAAGGGGTGTAGGGAGTGGTGATAATGGTGGTGGATGAGTGTGATAAAGGATGGGGAGGGGGGTGTGGTGATTGTGGTAGGGGGGGAGGGAGAGTGATGATGAGGGAAGAGAGGGAAGAAGAGGTGGAGAAGAATGATGAAGATGAAAGTAAAATTATTAGAAGAAGAAGAAGAAGAATGGGATAGAGAAAGCTAAGAGGATGGTGATGTAGAGGAGGAGATGAAGGAGGAAGAGGAAAAACGGAGAAAGGTCAAGAGAAGAAACGGGAGATGAAGTTAACAAGGAAGATAGAAGGATGGACAGAATATCTGATAAAAGTAATGAGTATAGGAGAATGATGAGAGACTGAACACTAAGAGGAAAGTCAGAGGTTGGAGGATTTAGATAAGGAAGAGAGAGAGAGAGAGAGAGAGAGAGAGAGAGAGAGAGAGAGAGATAACACCAAACCTATTACCAACAACGAACCAATAACAAAACAGCTTGTACAGTATCAGCTGAGTACCCACACCACCTTCGTCTCAACTCCAGCCTCTCTGCATGACACCGAACCCATACGAATCCCAACACCCACAGGAGTCTCGAAGTTACGTAGGTTTAGGAATTACATGAATCCGAACCGAGAAAAAAGCATAATTATGTACGGGAATCGAGTCAAAGTGAATCCCAACCTGCAGAATTTTTAACCTGTATAAATCCTAACCTGCACGACTTTTAACCTGTATAAATCCTAACCTGCACGACTTTTAACCTGAATAAATCCTAACCTACACGACTTTTAACCTGTATAAATCCTAACCTACACGACTTTTAACCTGTATAAATCCTAACCTGCACGACTTTTAACCTGTATAAATCCTAACCTGCACTACTTTTAACCTGTATAAATCCTAACCTACACGACTTTTAACCTGTATAAATCCTAACCTGCACGACTTTTAACCTGTATAAATCCTAACCTGCACGACTTTTAACCTGTATAAATCCTAACCTGCATTAAGTAAACCATGAGTCTCCATTACATCTCCGTTCTTGTGTTTGTTTAGACTCAACACCGCGGCAATAAGACTCACCTTCGTATTGGTGCCTGGCTTTAGGAGAAGGCAGATATATCGTTAAGTCATAGTCTGTGTGTCTGTGCAGGTCCTAGAAATAAAAGAGTGGAGAAAATAAGTCAAATATAGTCAGTTTGATGGACTTTTTCACTGAACACAAAATTAATATTGAAAAAAAAAACAGAAAATTAATTATATATCGTTATTAAAATAAGATATTTCTAATTTCTCATCATCAGGTAATTAAAACCTATTGTGTTATTTATTAAACTTGTAATTAATACTTATAAGTTGAGTGAAGAAAAGATTAACACTAAGAAACTCTGATTCATCTCATTTCTCCTACCATTCTCAGAGCTGCACATGAGCAAAACCTCCAAACTTTCCTTATTTAACTCTGTACTTATTTTACCTGACACCGGTTCGCCAGCCATCTTATCTCCCGGTATTTAAGACTCCAGAGAGAACTGGGAATAACTCACCACTGAGGCTACACGGAAGAAATGCTTCACTCACAATACCTTACTCTCGTTTCTCCCTTCAACCTTATACCTTGAATCATTAATGCATTCTCCCCCCTCGCCTCTAGTTCATCTTTAAAGTGTGCATGTACATCAAGTTGATCATAGTGTTTTGCAACGATTTCTGCAGTTGCATGGCTTTCAGGGCTTCTAATCTATTTTATCTGTGGTTCATCAGGGGAGTTGGCGTGGTATTATCCACCACTAAGGCCGGGGGTTGATGGTAGCGGTGGTGGTGGAGGGTGGCCATCCGTCAATCAGGTGGCAGAGGCTCCGCGCACTTCTGACCTGACAACACTCCCTTCAGTCACTATCTTCGTCAGTTTAGTGGCTCAATCCGGCGTCTGTTGTGGCTTTATTCGATGTCGACTTTCATTCAGTGCGTGTTCGAGTTTATCGGTTTAATTCGACGTCTATTGTGGCCTTATTCGATGTTTACTGACTGACTGTTAGCAGAGGCACTTGTGATTATTCATGGTTTAAGTTATATTGGTGTGGGATACTCTCTCTCTCTCTCTCTCTCTCTCTCTCTCTCTCTCTCTCTCTCTCTCTCTCTCTGAGGCATACCATGGCGGATGGTCAGGTCAACTAACTCGCTTCGATAAGTATACAATTTCCTTAAGACACTGTAAAGTTGACGCAAACTCATACTTTACGTGGACATACTTTGTGTGCGGTAAGTGAAGGAGGATGAGTGTGATCCTCTCATGTCTCACAATGCTACACACTTTTGTGAGGTTTACTTTAATTCCCTGAGCTATGTTGCCTTGGTTGTGAGTCGCCCCTCTTCCCTCTCACACAACAACAACAGTTTTATGAGTCGTCTTTCTGTGAACAATGTTACCCTGGTTGTATCGTGGTTCAACTGTCGTAAATAGCTCTCCTTGCAATATATTACCCTCCAGAGTTTGCTTGGGGAAATCACAGGTTAATTTGTCTAAATCGACGGCAATAAACCGCACTTGACTGGTATTAAGAGTATGCCAAGAGTGTGTATGTGTGTGTTTATGTGGCTCATGGTCCAGATTCTTGAAATATTTACACGGTGGAAATTTCTCGTAAGTGAAGATATAAGAATGTACCTGAGTGGCTCATTTAACGCTCAATTATTTAAATTACTTTATAAAATAGCGTTGAAATTACACTGACAGACGGACAGAGAAACAGACAGACAGATTCGCCCTTCACTTAGACACGTTCACCGTTAAACAGATAATTAAGGTATTCAAAAAATTTGAAATAGATTCTATACCTATGTTTAGTCTAGCAGGTGTGTCAAGAACGTATCTAGTTAAGGTAAAACATCAGTAAAATTTCCTTTGGACGCTACTTTTATGTTTTAACTTACGACAATCAGTTAAGTGAATTCTTCAGAAGGAATCTCTATCTACGAAACGTTTTAGAATCTGGACTCAGGCTGTTTGAATTGTTGCAAGTTTTGTGAGGTGAGAATCTAGGATACACCATGACCATTACACACTGTACATGCAACACTAGGGCCATAAACCTGGCTTTCTTGAACACTCTGGCCTTATATTCTTGGCACACATGGCCGGGAGAACTCTTAATATTCTCATAAAGATATTTTCAAACAGTATTAGAGGTGTCCACAGAGAACGACTTCAACGACGACTGGAGGGTCTGTCGTGTGTGTCGTGTAAACCAGTCTTCTCTATGATCAGTGTCAGGCGTCCAACACAACGATGACACTCCGTTAACACTAAAGTCCTTCAACAAGAACCTTTCATTAACTTTTCATAACAAGAATTACCTCAGGCTAAAATGAGTTCGCCTGACCGTGTTTACAGCTGACTTGTGTATTATAATCCAAACAATTACCAATTACTTTGTTAAGAATATTAGTGTTAATCAAGAACGGTGGCCCAAGTCACCCTCGTCAGTGATTATCGAAACAGTTCAGGTCTTTAGAAGTGAAAACGTATTCTAGCAGGTCAGTCTTGGTGCACAGGTTATCTGACCTCTCATCTCCTCCACAGAAACAGGTTCAAAACAAGATCTTCAGCAATTTGTAAAGGAGAATTGACCCCTTTCACGGCTCGTGATTTACCTGTCCGGCAGCAACGTAAATTAACTCCGTTTAGTGAGCAGCAAGAGACAGGTGAAAGGGAATATTGTTTATTTGCTAAGTTGCGTCACGGGTGTATAATGCCGGCTGCACAATCGACCTTAATTAGAATCCCCGGCTCTGGGTGCAGCTCACAGCTACCAAGGCATACATAACAAGCCGAGACAGCGAGCGCGTGTAAACATAGTCTGGTTAAGAGCTCGTGTTTAGGGATGATTGGTTTTCAACACCTGGGTTCATTAAGCTCAGTCAGGTGTTATGTTTGTATAACAGTAATTTACTAAGCTTTCTTTGGGATGTCACCAGCAGGAGACCCAAGGACCTCACCTCGCGGGGCCATAAGACGTAGGTCACACTCCGTCAGGTACTGTTGTAAATATGTCACTGTATCTACGGCTCTTTAGACCACTCGAGAGGTTATTGTCTGTCCTCAGTCCTGACTTTCTCATTTATTATATAGAAAATTTGACATAGATATTATCATTTCATAAATATGGCAATAATTCATTAAACAGGTAAGCTAGGGGGCTAATGTTCAGGTGAGTATCATGTTTTTTATTAGTATGTTGTTTAATTTATCACACAAAACAAAAATTTGTAGACGATAATACATTTATTATTCTTTATTATGTACTTACGTGTTTTTACTGTTTACTGCAATAATTACTAAACACACACACACACACACGCTATACATATTTACCACAGTACAAAGCTTGCATGACTCTTAACACGTGCACCATAACAACATTGCGTAGTGAGAGTACCCCAAAAATATTACCTGTGGACCAACTTTTGTAAGTATTAGCGAGTAGAGGTGGGGGAGGGGAGGCGGCTAGCGCGTGACGATGTTCATTTATACGTATATTTTTTTTGTAGACTGAAATTTAGGTTATGTAGTTGATTAATGCATCCACCTCACCCTACCTCTCATTTGGGTTAAAAGGTTCAGCCGCCCTAATTTTATCAGCAATGATAATAGTAATAATAATGAGAATAATAATAATAATTTAGAGTGTGTAGACAGGTGTGGTGGTGTGGAGGTAAGGTAGACAGGTGTGGAGGTGTGGTGGTAAGGTAGACAGGTGTGGAGGTGTGATGGTAAGGTAGACAGGTGTGGTGGTGTGGTGGTAAGGCAGACAAGTGTGGAGGTGTGGTGGTAAGGTAGACGAGTGTGGAGGTGTGGAGGTAACGTAAACAGGTGTGGAGGTGTGCTGGTAAGGTAGACAGGTGTGGAGGTGTGGTAGTAAGGTAGACAGGTGTGGAGGTGTGGTGGTAAGGCAGACAAGTGTGGAGGTGTGGTGGTAAGGTAGACAAGTGTGGAGGTGTGGAGGTAAAGTAAACAGGTGTGGAGGTGTGCTGGTAAGGTAGACAGGTGTGGAGGTGTGGTAGTAAGATAGACATGTGTGGAGGTGTGGTGGTAAAGTAGAAAGGTGTGGAGGTGTGTGTGATAAGGTAGACAGATGTGAAGGTATGTAGGTAAGGTAGACAGGTGTGGAGGTAAGTGTAGTTGAAAGTGGGCGCCCTTACACCTGATGGTCCGCTAGAGGCAATGCGCATAGTACACACTGAATACTGATCCTCGGTGCATAAGCAAATAAGACAAAATACACTGAACACGACAGCCTTCACTTCCCCAACTAAAAATAAGTAACCCATCCCCACCTAAGTCAACTAGAGGTACCCCGAGTGTCAACCAGTGAACCTTATGGTAGGTAGTGAGCGCTGGGATAACACAAAAAAATACGTAAAATAAAAAATCGTGTAGGATTCTTGAACATACGAGACGATTTTGACTTTTACCTTATAAGAAAACATGAGTGTGATGCAAACATTTTTATGAAGTATTATAGAATTAAAATATTATATAAATCCTTAAGACAAATATGAAAATAAAATATACAAAAAATAATATTTGTTGGAAAGTTATAAGTAGATGTATGTTGACGTATAATTATTAGCTTAATGAACTAAGAATTATAGAGAGGTCTGGCCACCCACCCCTCCCCCCCCCAAAAAAAAAAATATGTTTATACTTTTATATTTATTTTGACTGTTATATAATTTACGACTCTCATATAGGTCTTACAGATATATGATATACTGATTATTATAGCTTTACTACAGGAGTTATAGCTGTTAATATATATTATATATAAAGACCCCAGGAGAAGTAAGTGACTTTTATATAGTTTATTTGTGAACATAGAACTTGACTTATATGTAAATAAGCAATTAAGGTGACTCATGGCTGATAGGCGGATGTGGAAGTAGAGTAAGTACCACCACTACCCAGGGAAGTACCACCACCACCCAGGGAAGTACCACCACCACCACCACCGCCCAAGCAAGTACCACCACCCACAAGAGTATACCTGAAGAAGGACCACCCAGGGTGAAGAAGCAGGACTCAGAGTGAAGGAGGAGAAAAATTAACACTCGGGGAAGTAGCACAGACGGAAGAACCAAAAAAGAAGGCATTCTACTGATCATCCATCAGTGCTGACAACATTCTACAACTCATTCACCTCTACAAGAAGCTCCTTATTCCCCCGTTCTACCCTTACAAACACACTTGCATCTCCTACCTTACTTGTCTTGCCAGAGGGAAACATATCCAGCCTCTCACAGCAACAGCGACTTCACTAGTAACAAAAACAACAGTAGTGTCTCTAGCCTGTAGCAGCAGTATAACCAACAACAAGAACGTCCCCAGCAGTAGCAGGAAGAGTATTGTAGGCGTCCCCCCAGCAGGGTGCGGGCAGTGACTGTAACACCATAAAAACAGGGTCGAGTCCTTGCTCCACTTGTTATCCTAACATCATAATTACCTTGGTCATGATTAGTATGAGGGCCTCCCCTTAGGTGACAACTCTTAGACACAGTGCGTGAACCAGACTCCCTGGCGATAATTACTGGGCATTAGTTATATATCGTCGGAGATTAGCGCAAATTGTAGGATGGCGAAGAAACATTTGACGGTGAATGTGCGTGTCCATGCTTAAGATTCGAACCCCTTTTAAGGCACTGGAAGCAATCAGAACTATCCCACGAGGGGAGCGAAATTGGACCGAATGAAATCATTAAGCTTGCGTAATGTGCGGGGGAAGATAATGCTCGGTTGTTTATGTGTATTTTCTCTCTCCATTAGTCTTCGTTGTGTGTTGTCTTCTTAGCATAAAGGGGAGTGAGAACTTGGTGCGCTCAAAGGCTTCACCGGAGACTGATGTGGCCGACGCCAGGCCCCTGTAAGGCAGACGAATAACGAGGAGTAAGAGTGAACAGGTGACTCAACGACGAGTACCTAGTATTTGCGGTCGGGAGAAGTGTGTTTTAATTGCATTATCTCTTCCTAATGAAGCTATTGCTTTTCTAATGTGCATTCTAATGTCTAATTTGTAACAGGAATGCTGTCAAGTGGTTTAGAGTCAAGTTTCACGCGGCGTTTTGTACCTCAATATATCATAGTTCATAGTCCGGGTAATGAGAACTTTCAGGTAATGAAAATTTCAGTCATTTAGGTTCTCTACCGCCAGCCTTAAGACGCTCCAGCTTGTGTTACTTATTTTATAACAGGTAAAGTACACCAGGACAGACTTTCTCTTTGACTTATACAATAACACGACTATGTTTATCTCCATCAATGCTGCCATATTCTTCATCATACCATTAACGTGTACAATATGTTATAAGAATCACCACTTGGGGCAGATTTCTTCATCTTGAGATAATATTCACCCAAGCATGTAATGTCTGATGATCCTGGCTAACCTCAACACCAGTATGCATAAAACTTCCTCCCCCAAAATATAATCCTCGCGAAAAATAAATGCTCTTAATAGTATGCATTATAAGGCCATCAAACACGAATTTCATAATGCTTGATTATTAACGAAAAGTGTATATACTTGCCAACGCGCGCAAATCTTAACGCTAAAATGTAGAATTATGCTCTCCATATCACAAAAGCCTGAAGCCATTTAGCACAAATATGGGAAGCCTGAACTAGTGACGTCGCCGTTTTGTATAATTTTGTAAACAATAAACACAGACGCGTGTACTGAGTGGCTGGCGCTCTAACGGTTTTACTGATTTTAACGCTTTTTTAAACTGTTCATTTAATCCAAGTTTATAGTTTCCCTTCATACACTCGACTGGGAGTTAATACCCAGAATTAACAAGATTGTAGACCTTTATAAGCGATGGATGGTATATTAATATCGGTAATTTCATTAATGTATGAATAAACTTAAGAATGTAATTTAATGTATTTTTATATTAGAATTACTATAAATAGAACGATGACAGTAAAGTTCCTTCACCTCTGAGTTTACATTCAACATTCACTTCATGAAATTGTGAACAGAAATAACTCACTCCCACGTCCTAGTGCGTACTGATGTCAGGCATAAAGTTGTCGTCTCTTTCTTGAACATATACAAAATCTCACTTATCCAGAGACCACCATATATTTTCATTATATCTTTATCAACTGACAATACTCTTCTAGTGTACTTTTTTCAAGTGACCTTCCACCTACGATTACAGACAGACGTGTACTGAGAAACAGACTATCGCAATATGCCACAACCTCAAGCGTGGCGTGGGGTCATAATCGACGCCGATATTTTAGGAAAGGGAAAATAATAATGAGAACGCGGGTCTGTTCTCTTAAAGGCGCTCAAAATCATCATCATCATCAAGAATCGCTGTCGTTCTTTTTAGGGAAATAGAAGATGGCTATCGGCACTCAAGAACATTATTTTAAGGTCTGAGATATTTCTTAGTTTAGTCTATAATGATAGTCTACAACACTTCTATTAGATATTAGTGTCTCAGTCATATAAGTGAGTATCGTTGATCAAATACTGGGCTGTGAGGAGGCCCTGAGAGGAGTTATACAATACACAAGAACATGCTCAACGAAACTCTTTTGTTTTGTAGGTTGAAAGTCCTCAATAACCTCAAGATGTCTTCGATCTTATAGTGAGTGAAACTGTACAACAAAACATCATCCTGGGTATATACACAGGACTCGGGCATGTCTACGTGCATATATATGAACGATTTCCACCACTGATGAACATATAACCAGTAATTCTAACTTTATTATTGTGATTTGCAAGTAGAGGAGGATACGAGCCTGTAATATATTCATCAGTTGACTTTTAGGTCCACTTACGTCGTACGCAGGTGTCCTATATATTGGTCTATTAACATACATTCAGGAGCCATCACTCATTGTTTCTCCTACTCACTCAGCCATTATTATAACCAAGATGTTTATAGTAACATGTTAATAAGACACACACACTATCTCTCACTCAACTTATCTCAGTGGGTCTCCGCCAGGATGAATAAACAAAGAGTTTTACACTAGGTTGGGTTATGCAATATTCATGACCAGTAAAACTACGTGTTTCTAAATGAGTTGTAAAAGTTGATAAATTAAGTAATTAAAATTCTCCAGTGGGAGTCCATTTAGCACTTGGATGTTGGTCTCTCAACATACGTGCATAATACTGAGCTTAAATGTTGTGTAGATGATGGTCGAGAATATTCATGACTTACAGCCGCAATCTACATGACGACTGGGAAATATTCAAGACACACGAGACCTCGACTCTTCTTATTTTGCAATCAAATGTTTGGAAAGGAAAAAAAGGTAAAAGATTTTTATTTCAATTAAAATTTCAAAAAGAAAACAGACATTGTAGGAGTTTTAGTTAAAACAATTCAAAGAGAAAATAAATATTGAATAAAATTTGCATATACTTTTACCTTAAAATAAACTAGTTTACTATATAGCAGTTATATTTTTCATGACATTTAAAAATAAAATGATAGAATATAAAAGGCCTTCAATCATCATCAGATTTTCAACAAGAATAAATATATATTGAAACAAACTTTTACTGACCATCAAATGTTCAATAGAAATAAATCTATATAGCTCAAGACATCTTTACGTGCCATCAAATTTAAAAACAAAATAAATTAATACACTAAACGACTTTTTTACCACTACTAAAACTTACTCAAATAACAGTGTAAGATAATAACTTAATAAGACCAGGCTGGGATGCTAATTTGAATGACCTGCTTAACCCAGAGCCAATGACCAATTTTGTGACCTCACCTGCCTTGGCCCCGCTTGAAAGGAACAAGTTAAGGAACAGTTCTCTATGCTTGTTTGCCCACTAGGTCCCCACGCACACTAGTCTAATAGGAGCCCCGGCAGAAACATTCCTCTCTGACTGCCTCCCCGCTATCGCCTCAGCATACAACCCTGACTGACCGTAAGAATATTCTGACCCATATTTACTTTAGTATGTATGTATGTATATATGTATGTATGTATGTATGTATGTATGTATGTATGTATATATGTATGTATGTATGTATGTATGTATGTATGTATGTATGTATGTATGTATGTACAGTATGTATGTAGTGGAGAACATTGAGTCGATAGTTTAATGATGGGATATTACTGTACAGGGCTGGGTGGGGCCTCGTGCGTGTGCGTGTGTGTGTGTGTGTGTGTGTGTGTGTGTGTGTGTGTGTGTGTGTGTGTGTGTGTGTGTGTGTGTGTGTGTGTGTACCTCAACATTGCATGATATAACCTATAAAGAAATGGGTCAAGAGCTGGCCACTAAACTATTTTCTTGCGCTCTCTCTCCCTCCCTCTCTCTCGTCAGTCGTCACACCTGCCCTCCCTCTCACTCCCCTCTCTCCCTCACTCAGCTTCTGCCCTCCTCTCTCACTCCCTCAGTCGTCACATCCTGTCCTCCTCCCCCTCTCTCCTCTCAGTCCCTCAGTCGTCACCTGCCCCCATCCCTCCCTCCCTCTCTCAGTCGTCCTCCTCTGCCTCCTCTCCTCCCTCCTCACTCCTCTCACCCCCATCTCCTCTCTCCTCAGTCGTCATCTGCCCCTCCTCCCTCTCTCTCTCCCCTCCTCAGTCGTCACACCTGCCCCCTCCCTCCCTCAGTCGTCTCTCCCCTCCCTCAGTCACACTGCCCCTCCCTCCCTCCTCCCAGTCCCTCCTCTCTCTCACCCTGCCCCTCCCTCCTCAGTCGTCAAGACCTGCCTCCTCCCTCTCCTCAGTCGTCACACCCCTCCCTCCTCCTCTCTCTCTCTCCCAGTCGTCACACCTGCCCTCCCTCCCTCAGTCGTCTGCCTCTCTCTCTCCCTCCTCCCTCGTCAGTCGCCCCTCCCTCTCACTCTCAGTCTCCATCTGCCCCTCCCTCCTCTCCTCTCAGTCAGTCGTCACACCTACCCATCCCTCCCTCAGTCGTCACACCTGCCCCTCCCTCCCTCACCCACAAGAACTAGACTATACAAACCTTCACGTCTTACTCGCTCAGCCTCACTCTCCCACCTGACTCTCCTCCTAACAGATAAGTAACCGTGTTGCCGCTCTACTTCCCTCACATGTTGTATACGAGAATTTTCCCCAAGAGAGCCCGTAGAACTATTACGTCTTAGGGGTCAATCGGTCAAAGGTCAAGGTCAAGCCTCCGTCGTGGGTTGGTACCTCCCTCAAGTGCAGTAAAAATGAAAGTACAGGTCAAGTTATTTATTACAATGTCTTTCCTCGCTTCAGTCAAGTCGTTCCTGCCAGATATTTTTAAACACAGAGAACAGTTTACACCAGTTCAGGTCACTCAGTGTGTGTGTGTGTGTGTGTGTGTGTGTGTGTGTGTGTGTGTGTGGATATCGCACGACCTGGCCGTGGATAGGTAGGTCACGCAAGATGCTGACGTCA